CAAAGTCTCAAAACAGTATGTGCTTGGAGAACATTTTTTTCCTGTTCTCCTGGTGTTGTTAATGATGATGGTGATGATAATTTCAGCTGTATTCTTCAGCCCTTTTCTGACTTCAAAGGAATACACACCAATGGATATCCTGGCAACCGGTCCCAAATCTTAGCTCAAAATGAATTCTTTCTCCAGAGTGATCTAACTCTTCAAAGTAACCAACACAGTTCAGCACTGTGCCCCGGGCTTGAGCCAGCTAGTTCAGAGACTTTGAGGGCATCTCCAGCTGGCTGCCTTAGCACATCAAAATAACTCCCTCGTGCATTAAATATTCCTTAGTAAGAACTTCTGAAACAACCAGTTGCCCCCGATCCACTTATGCCCTCCAATTAACTCTTCAATTAACACCCTTTGTGTTGAGATCCATATCCTCCACTATAAATTCTGTCGGATTCTCTAAGATAGTAGTGGCCGTCGTTCTGAACCATTGGTTAGAACTGTTTAGTAAGCAGCTTCCTGAGATTTCCCTCAAAACACTGTTACTGCCCCTCAGCCCCTGTGGTTTTATTTCCTTCCTTATCCAACCAAGAGGCAAGTCATAATTTATGTCCATTTATCTGGTGCACAGCTCTGCACGTATCTTCATCCAGTTTACTCGTCTGACAACTTCAGTCATTGATGAATACAACTATCCACCATCTCTGTGCCAGAATTTTATTTTGTTCTTTTTCCAGTCTGCTGATATATATATCTCCAGTAAATTAACATACCATGTTATATTAGTTTCACATGTACAATACAGTGATTCAACAATTCTACACATTACTCAGTGCTCATCATGATAAGTGTGCTCTTCATCCCCATCACCTATTTCCCCCATCGCCCCACCCACCTCCCTTCTGGTGACCATCAGTTTGTTCTCCATATTTGAGACTCTGTTTTTTTGTTTGTCTCTTTTTTTTCTTTGTTCATTTGCTATATTTTATAGTTACTCAGCCTAATAACATTTTCCAAGATTGTCTTTTATCTCTTCATAGATAGGAAACATAGTTGTTTCAGAGTCTGTCTGAATATTTTCACATCTGACATCTCTGTTGGGCTATTTTTGTCGATTTTCTTTTTCTGCTCCTTCTCAGTCATGATGTTTGTATTTTCATGGTGTTTGTATTTTTCCTTATGAATCCAATTATCTTTGGCTTTGTGCCAGACACTAGATTTGTAGAAATAAATTTTTGCTGGGATGGATAGATCTTCCTCCAGAGAGAATTTCATTTTCCTTTGCCAAGTGCATGAGGGTATAAACAACCTGGGGCTACCTGAATCAGAATTCAAGGCTTGAGGTGGCCCGGATCACATAGAGAACAGATTTATCTCTATCTCATCTTTACTTTGAATCTGTTAATTCATGTACATTTGGTACATTCTGGACTTTGATTTTTGTCCCCCTGGCCAGTGAGTCAGTCTCGTGAGCACTGAGTCAGGGTAGGCAAATGCCCCCAAAGGCAAAAAAATGCTGTTATGCTGTCGTCTCCAGCCTTCTCCAAGTTTCCAGCCTTGTGTCTCCCACTATATTTTTGAGACATTAATTAACTGAGGTTTTTGATGTTGTTATTTTACCCAACTATTTGGGGAACAACAGAAGGATTGATTTGAGAGCTCTTATTTGTAATTCTAGGGACTGAGGTCAAGGAATTTTATTTAGAATTTTATTTTATTTTTTTTAAAGATTTTATTTATTTATTTGACAGACAGAGACATAGCGAGAGAGGGAACACAAGCGGGGGAGTGGGAGAGGGAGAAGCAGGCTTCCCGCAGAGCAGGGAGCCCGATGCGGGGCTCGATCTCAGGACCCTGGGATCATGACCTGAGCCGAAGGCAGACACTTAACGACTGAGCCACCCAGGCACCCCTTATTTAGAATTTTAAATCAAAATGCATTAATAGTAGATTCTTAGCCTATAATTTCTTTGTATTTAACTTAAATGGCATAGAGATGTTATACTTAAACTTTAATTTCAACTAGAGAATTTTTTAAAAATGTAAAGGGTACTTATAATCAAATTGAGACATTTGTTTTTTGTCATTTTATCACTGGAGTATTTATCATTGGAGTATTATTGGAGTACTTTTATGTTCTTTTTTACTTTTATCCCATAACCTCTGGCATGTCATTGGACCATGTGGCAGGAAAGGAAATAGAAAGAGGAGTGAATATTTAGACTTGAGCAGAGAACACAGAATGGACTTGGATTTAATTGCTATACTGTCATGATGCATTTGAGCTGGTTTTTCATGAGTACACCCAAGGAGCAGTGGTTGGAATTGGGAAAATATAACAAGTGGCTCCATCTTCCCCACTTAAACCCAGTCTCCTGAGAAATCACTTTATTCCACATTCCCCATTTTGGGAGACTTCCCTAAAGTAATACTCCTGTTCTTTTTTTAAGATTTTATTTACTTATTTGAGAGAGAAGAAGCAGAGGGGACGGGCAGAGGGAGAGGGAGCTTGATCCCAGGACCCAGGGATCAGGACCTGAGCTAAAGGCAGACCCTTAATTAACAGACTGAGCCACCCAGGTGGCCCACTAATACTTCTGTTCTAATCTTCCCATTCCTTATCGACTTTTCTATATGGGAAGGGAAATAAGTGATCTCATTTAATTTCTTCATCTTTCTTTAGTCTCTCTTCATCTTTGTGCCTTCCTCCTGGTACCTAGAGAAGAGATCGATTCCTTGGTGTTTTCTCAACATGAACTAAGATTAGTGGAGAACTTTCTTTTTCATACAAGGTAGACTGCAGTTTGGAGGAGAGAGAAAATGAGTTAAATTCTGACTCAATATAGTGTTAGCCAGACCAGGGGGTTTCACATCTGAGCCCCATTATTTACCATTATTTTGGTATTTACCAGTATCATCAAAAAGGACATCATCATGTCCACCTGTATGGCTCCAATGTCTAACTCTCGGTTCCCTCTTAGGCCACAATAAGACGATATTAGCTGTTGACCCTCTAATACTAACAAATCATACACCCATATACCCCTTGTACTCAATGAAACAAAGCACAACTCCCCTTCTGTTCTGACAAGAAAACACATCCGTACTGTTTCTTCCCATTGGCCACTAGGAGGCACTGTAGCTTCGCTGTCATCTAGAGTCCAGAGGGGCTGAACAAGTCCCCTGGAAGGAGAGGGCTTAAGGGTTAAACCATGGGGCATGGATCTAACTGGGGTTAAAATCAAGGTGTCAGCAGGGTCCTAGGGGCTCTAAGGACACTGTTTTCTTGCCTTTTTCAACCTCTAGGCCACCACCATTCCTTGGCTCATAGACCCCTTCCATCTTCCAAGCCGGCAATGACCGGTCAGTCTGTTCTCGTGCTGTATCACTCTGACTCTGACTCTTCTTCCTCCTTCTTCCACATGTTAGGACCCTTGGGATTATATTGGGCCCACCTTTAAATTTCAGTATGCACTTCCTATATTAAGGTCCGCTGATCAGCAGCCTTAATTCCATTTGGAACTTTCATTCCCCCTTATTATGTAATATAATACACCCACAATTCCAGGGATGGGACATGGACATCTTTGGGGAGCCGTCATTCTGTCTACCACACCTAGGTACATGGTAACAAGGAAAGAGCGAACAATGATCTTTTTGGAAACAGAAAAATGGCCAGAGATTTACATTCTGGATCCAACAGAAAACAATAGATAAACAGGTACCTCAGGCAACATAATCCAGTCTGAAAAATATCTGCTTTTTGAAATTAGCATGTGTCGGGGCGCCTGGGTGGCTCAGTGGATTAAGCATCTGCCTTCAGCTCAGGTCATGATCCCAGGGTCCTGGGTTCGAGCCCCGTGTCTGGCTCCCTGCTCAGCGGGGAGTCTGCTTCTCCCTCTGGCCCTCCCTGCTCGTGCTTTCTCTCTCTCTCATGTGCTCTCTCTCTCAAATAAATAAAATCTTAAAAATATTATAATAAAATTAGCATGTGGTCCTTAGATTCAGAGGACTCAACAGTACGTCTCTATGCTAACCACAAAATACAGACTTGAACTGGTCCTTCTTGATTAACAACTTAACTGACCAACCCAAAAAACAGGCTTCTCTCTGCTCTCCATAACCTTTACCATGAGCAGAAGAGGGTTTGTGGCATCAGACCTCTTTTAGAGGGAAAGGCTCAGTGTTACTGATTTAAAAACAATGAGCTTTTCTAGGAGTAAGAATATATTTAAATCAACTCTATTTGCAAGTCTTCAAGAATGAGAAAATCCTCCGCTTATTTCATGGTGGGGGTAGAGAAGTGTGGAAGATCCTATCCTGTGGGCTTTGAGAATTTAATAGAGCTCAAGGATAAATAAACTCAGAAAGGTTTTTCTCGGCAAGTAAGAGCTTTCAGATTGAATCAGTTCTCATCAATTCAGCCCCTGGAGCCCTAACAATGCAGCTGGTGTTCTTGTTTTTCCTGGAGTGCTCAGAGCCTAACTCCTAACTAACAGATGGATGGTTTTGAGCATGTGTATATGACCAGGAGCCTTAAGCCACTAGTGAGGGGAGTATGAGAGCTTGCAGAGAAGCTGGCTTGCAGGGAAACAATGAAGTAATCTGCAAATACTTGGAGTTTAGGCTCTGGTTGCGTAAGTCTGTATCCCAGGGCAGCTGTAACTGGGTTCAGTTGTGCCTGATTTATCTCTCAGAGATGCAGCCTCCTCTGCAGGGAGCTCCTGAGTTGGGGGTGGCGGCTTATTTAGTGATGTCACTGACAGACACATCTCATGGAGATAGATTGTCCCCAAACTCGAAACTCTGCTCATGCTCACGAGGGCCCTGGTCTGGGCTGTTCCACATCTGCCTTCACCTTGCGATGGGCACCCCGGCCCTCTGTCTCTTAGGGGTCCTTTGTCTCCTGGGGGTAAGTGAGTCCCCAGAATATGTAACATTCTCCTTCTGGGTTTCCCTGTTGTGACTCCAATATTTTTCTTATTCTGTCCCGATTCTGTCCCCTTCCACAGAGTTTACAGATGCTGGAGTCATCCCGACACCCAGGCACAAGGTGACAAAGACAGGACAAGAAGTAACCCTGAGATGCAAGCCTATTTCTGGTCACACAGCCCTTTTCTGGTACAGTCAGCCCTCAGGGCAGGGACCGGAGCTGCTGATCTACTTCAACAATCAAGCCCCTATCGATGACTCGGGGACGCCCAAGAAACGGTTCTCAGCAGAGATGCCTGACAAATCCTTCTCCACGCTGACGATCAAGCCCACAGAACCCAAGGACTCAGCCACGTACCTGTGTCAGCAGTGTGGAGACAGTGCTGCTGAGTCACTGTCCCGGTGCAGAAACCCTCAAGCTTCCCCTTCTGCCTCCAGCCCCCAGCTGTCTGAGTAAAGGTCTCTCCTGCTCCTTCACCAGTATAAATGGGTGGGTTTAGGGGCCTGACAACGATAGAAAATGATAAGGTATCAACAGAGAAAATCTTATGTAGGAAATAACTTGGGAAATGGGTTTCAGGGATTCCTGACAAGTTGTGAGCTCAGAACTCACCACGTGTCAGATAGACTTTAATGACACGCCCTGTAGATTTTCCTGCCTTCCTGCATTTGCCATCCCCATCCGAACGGTAGGCGCTCCTGATAACCTATGTCTTCAGAACTCCTCGGTCCTCTTCAATCTCTCCTAACACTGGGTATTAACAGAATTTCCCCACCCACCACAAGCTTTCCTGATTGTAACAGAAGCCTCTTCACTGTGACTGTGGACATTCCTTTCTAAGGTTAATGTAACTTAATGTTTATGTGGGGCATTTTCATTATGTTCAAAGAGCATCTCAAATACGGGCAAAGCAGACAGTGTATTCCATGAGCTACCAGCTACCACTCCTGGAATCTTGGGGTTTATCAGTCTCTGTCCTGCCTGAGGAGAGTCCTGGCCTGACTGAGGATAGACAGCAGAGGCCACTGCCAGCCGACGGCTGTGTGGGACTCAGGGCTGATGGGACCTCTTCGGCTGCCTGCTCTGGGACAATAAATACGGGCTCCACACTGAGTATCTACAAGTGTGCAGACCTATACACACTTACTTTGCCCTCTTTCCTCCTGATCCTACGTCCTGAATCTATATTCTTCTTCTGACTTATGCTAGACACTTCCATTCCATTCGGCAATCCATTCTGAATGGTTAAAATTATTCTTTTCCATGGTCTTATTTTAGGTACTGAACCCTTCTCAGCCCTTATCGGGGGGCATCTCTGGCAACTGGTGCAGAGACGCCTGAATTCTGACTGCCCAAAGAGATTCGGGTTCAATGAGTTCTGCCATACAGCCAAATTCCACTTCTCGTTCTCCCATTTTTTGCCATTCCGGGATCCTGCCTTTCAAGATGGAAACAGTGAAAAATCAGATTCAGTTTCTGTTGTGTTTACGCTGGGACAGAACCTGCTTCCATGTCTGATTTCAGTGTGTTCTTCGTCCTGGCTCTTCCCTGCTGCTCCCAGACCCTTTTCCTCGCCTGCTCTAAAACCCAGCTCCTTGACACATATGACCTCGGAATATGACCCTTGAGTGTTGCACTTACTTCTTCCTTCCCCTTTACTTCTCCCCACCATGAATCCTGTCATCAGTCTTGGTGACCTAATCATCACACAGACAGTTTATGCATTTATTAAATATGTTACCGTGGGCACAATTACTTCATCTCTCATCTTTTCAATTTTCTCATCTTTAAAGCAGGAATAATCATTATAGGAGCCTCGTGGTATTTTTTTAGAGATAAATTAATCCATTGAAAGTACATAAAAGCTTTCAAACACATATAGCCATGTATTTTGACTGTGGTTGTGGATAAAACCCATATGCAAACAAAAGTGTAAAAGCAAAAGCAGGAGATAGATTCACTGACCCCAAAATAATGGTTATATCATGGAGGGAAAGAAAGAACCAAAGGGGGTGGTAAAGAGGGGCTTAACTTTATTTGCCATAATTTTTCTCTGTTTAAATAATCTAAAACTAAGTGGCCAAATGTTGCACTTTGTTCAGTGTCAGTGATCAGAACTATATCTCATTAGGAGTTGAACAGACCATGATCTCTGCAGTTCCATGTAGATTATTTGAATTATGTATCTATAACACCCAACAGATTTATTTGGGTTTAGTAATAGACCTCTTGCCATCCCTACTCCTCAATTCAAGTGCAGAATATGTATTTTGGATGACGCAGCTGTAGGCATGGGCTCTCCATTATACAGAGCGCTATAAAATGGCAGCTACTCGTGTCTGGATATTTTTTGAGATCCTGGTTGATGACAACCTTCCCATTTACTGTTAAGAGATTAAAAATACAAGGTCAAATCTAATACTGAGTCTTTCAGAAGTGAGAACATACCTATTGAAATAGTCTCATTACGTGGCTTGTCATGGGAGAATTTATATTTCCAAGAGTCTTCTTGAAAGTCAAAGAGTGTGAACTATCAGTAATTGGTGAACTCCCAGACAGAAATAATTTATTGTACATGATAGCAAGCATAAACTGGCCAGACCCTCTCTCTTGAAGAAAAAGTAATTAGGAGGACTCTCAGGGAGAAATAAGTTAGATCATGTACACACAAAGACCCAAAATCAATCAACATAATTATTGCAAAAGCTTAGAGGACAAACAAAAGAGCTCTTGTGGCTGGAACAAAATGTCACAGAGAGTTTCATGTCCTAAGAGCATGGATGAAACATTGCATGCTATCCTTTCTCTTTGCCATCAGGATAGGAACAAAGGGAAACTATTTATAGTAGAAAGTTGCTGCATTTATCCATAGTTCATTTCTTTTATCGCTGAGTTGTGTTCCACGGCATGGATGTACCAGAGTTCGTTTAGCCATTCACCTCCGGCGGGACATTTTGGTTGTTTCCAGTTTTTGACTGTGACAAATAAAGCTTCTATATATAAACATTTATGCTCAGGGTTCTGGATGAACATAAGTTCTCATTTCTCTGGGATACATTTATGCGCAGGAGTGAGATTTCTGGCTTACCTGGTGAGTGTGTTCTTACCTTTGAAATACAGAGCGGCTGTATCATTTGATGCTCCTAGAGATTGTTTGTTTGTTTATGAGAGAGATCATGCGCGCATGTGCATGAGTTGGGGAGGGGCAGAGGGAGAAGGAGAAACAGATTCCCGGCTGAGCAGGGAGCCCAACATGGTGCTTGATCCCAGGACCTTGAGATCATGACCAGAGCTTAAGGCAGACGCCCCGAATTCATTTTTTAATGTAAATTCGGTTTACATGTAACATTCCACTTTATTATTTCCACAACACACATGCAGAGAACTAAAAGAATAGAAAGCGAACATGATAGACCCAGATACTCTTTTCTTTGGATGTTTCTGCACTCTTCTCTTGAGAAATATTTGAATTCTTTCTATCCTTACCCACCTGAGGGTCTGCCCCTTCAATCTAGTCCTCACTGGTTGCTGCTGTCTAATGCTATTTCAGCTGTTCAGAAAGCTATGAATCCACGGCCAGGTGCCTAATTCATAAAAACACAGAGTTCCCAAATGATGTCTCCCCCGGTGTACTTCGTTCGACCAGTTCTGAATGCACACCCTGACTTCTCTGGGCATGTCCTTGTCGGATCCAGGACCACAAACTCTTCTCTGGATTTTGCTTGAAACTCATAGACATTACCTTGCATTTCATCCTGGTTGTGGTAATTCTCAAATTCTACAGTCTTATTTTTCACAGCTATTCCAATGGCAGCGCATATACACGTAAGATTGTTAATATAGTCAGCAATGCTTTGGTGGCATTTGGCTCTAAGAGGTCTGTGTTTTAAGTTTCACTGGAAATTCAAGATCATGTGAATACTGTCCTATGAACCCAAATCCACTGTCATAATCCTAGATCTGCAGTTCCCAGATCCTGACTTCCCAGTAGAAATGGAGTGTTAGGGAATTTAGTTCCTCTTACCGGCATTAAGTGGTGGTATTTTTGGCTTCTGTGAGTCATCCTCATGGGCACCGGCATCCTTTTTGCTTTTTGTTATTGCTTCTCAAGCATTTCTCATCTCTCCTACCTTAAAACCCCCAACATCTTAGATGGCTTGCAACACCTAGATGATACTGGGCTTCTCAGTTTTTTCATTTGCTCACTTCAATGATCATTTCCTCCGTGTATCTCAGATACTCACATCCACTCTTTATATTCTAGACCTATAATCACAAATAATTTGAACCACCTCCAAAATCGCTCTCTCAAGCATCCTTTTCTCTCCCATTACCTCCTCTCCTTCCATCCCTGGGACTGCCCTGCAGCAACTCTTCAACCCCATTAGGAACTGTAATATTTTACACTTTACTTTTCTTCTTCTCCTTCTACTGTATTAACACTCTTCCTACCTGGGGTGCAGGGTGAGGTCTACTCTCTGCCTCTTTCAGTGGCACAAAGAATCTAAAAAGCTCCTGACTCTCACCAAGCAGCCTTACAATCATAGACCGTGTCTTGAGGTCCATAAGGCCATCTGAGCATAGGAGGCCTGTAAACTTTTCTTTTATTAAAAGAATTGGTGTTTTTTATTGCTTGTTAGTTTCATCCATCAATCATAGCTGAAGGTTTTTTGTTTTTTGTTTTTTTAAGTAGGCTCCATGCTGGTTGAGTTCAATGCAGGGCTTGAGCTCACAACCCTGAGATCAAGACCTGAGCTGGGATCAAAAGTCAGATGCTTAACCCACTGAGCCACCCAGGTGCCCCCAATCATAGTTAAGCTTTTGATGACTATAAAAGCACCAAGAAAAAAAAAATGTTCCTAGAATGTATGATCTGATCTCATTTATGGGTATTGTGCTTCATTTCATAGTCATGAAAAAGTTAAAAGAAAACCAAATATGTATATTTATTTATTTATTTTGTAGGGATGATCAAGATAAACTGTCAAGGGGAACATAATTTGTATAGTATATAAAGTTATTTAAGAAAAATTAAATCAGTAGGGGCTCCTGGGTGGCTCAGCCGGTTTAGCATCCAACTCTTGATTTCAGCTCAGGTCATGATCTCAGGATCGTGAGATTGAGCCCCTGTGTGGGGCTCTCCATTCAGTTGGGAGTCTACTTGGGATTCTCTATCTCTCCCTCTCTCTCTCTTTCCCTCCCCCAACTCATGTGTGCACTCTCTCTCTTTCTCAAATAAAGAAACAAATAAAAAAAAAGAAAAGAAAAATTAAATCAGTAAAGTCCTTATTTAAGTTTATATACACTTGCATATGTTTGTTCTAGGAAGGAGGAAGTTGTAAAATGTTCCTCTGATTATTTAGGACGAAG